CCTGTTACTTATTTTAGTTCGAAACCACATTTATTGTAAGTAAAGGGGGATTCTGTGCAGTTCTATTTCCATTGTACAGGATCTTTCTGAACTATTAAAAACAATGGGAATCCTTTTACCCTTACAATAAAAATAATGTCATTATTCTGGGCCATCTCTTTCTTCCTCCCTTTACTTTCTGCCTTCCTTCTACATATTCCTCCCTACCCTTCCTTCTTCTTTCTTTCTCCCCAAACCCTGGTTTAGGATGTTTTATTCAGATATTTTACTTGGTAGTGTAATGATGAAAGAGCATATGCAACCCAGCCTTTTTTTTTTTTTTTGGTCTTCTCCCATAGCTTTTGTTAATGATAGTAACTTCTTCCCCATGATAATCTCAAACCTTCTACTTAAACTGTGTAAAGCTTTGTATTAAAGAGGGATGGATAATACTCCTTCCAGGGAAATTATTTCCTTAAACACTGTAAGGTAAATGCTAGATGGAGTTTCACTCTGTTATGTGACAGGATTAATCAGATGCATGTGTAACAAATCTTTGATGGCTTGGTTTGGAGACAGTAGAATTAAATAGAAATAAGATAGTGTACTCAAATAACATTTCATGTCTTCCTGCTCCCTTAATATTGGAATATTCATAATACTGCTCTGACTCTTCATTTAGGGTTGTCCCTGAAAGAACAAAGGTGCAGTAGCATGACATGGATTCTTTCTCTAAAAAGAGCCATAACAGAATATTAGTGTGTTAGCATTCACCAAAGAAACAGAATAATTTGGGGATAGTTAGTATGATAAACAGAATTTTTATCATACTTAACTGGCTTAGGGATTATGAAGGCTGATTGTCCCTGTCTTCTGTATGAATCTGGTGTGGGTCAGCAACCAGGTACAGATGAAGTCCAAAAGACTATCTTCTTGCATGGGGGAATTGTTCTGTTCAGGCCTGTAGCTGATTAGATGAGACCTACTGACACTATAAAGGACAATCTGTTTTACCCAAAGTTGACCAACTTAAATATTAATCGTTTCCATACACACCCTCCAAGTTGACACATAAAATCCCAGCAAGATTTATTTGAAATTCCATAATATTTGGTTGTGCATTTTTGTCCTTTATTTTTAAGGTTCTGATTGATTACGTAACCATTTAGTTTTTGCCTAAATCACAATGGACAAATATAACCAGAACTTCATCTGTTTGTGTTCTTGTCAGAACCCATAGTTGATCATAAATTGACCAATTATGTATAAGTGAATGGGTTGGGAAAACATTGATATGTGTTCTTTCTTCCTCATCCTTGCTCTTAAATTCCTTAAAAGAAAAAGAATATTGTTAAGGAACTGAGACATTGTTGAAAAGTTTCAGTTTTATAGGTTATATTTTTCTCTAAGATGGATTTTGCTAAGCAAGTATTCACAAGTGGTCTGTTTTGAAGAGTAAACATGTAGCTATTCTCCTCTGGAAGTCCTAAATTGCTGCTTTATATTTAGACTTCAGCTCTGATGGTCTAGTACAATCCCACAGTGACGTATGCTGACGTGCACCTACGATGCCTGAATCCTGGGCATGGAAACTTCTTTTGAGTAGAACACAACTGGACAGAATGCCAGAAGGCTAAATATAACTCTTTAGTGAGCCAGACATAAACTCTTAGTAAACACATCTGACTTAGAGTGAAAACATTTTCTAAAACAACTTTTTTCCATCTTGGTTCACAGTAATAAGTATAAAACCCAATTAATGTTTCATGAAAAGATAAGCCATTGATTTTTTTTTCTATTTTAGCCATCCTGCAGTTAAATAAAGAGCCATTGTTAAAGACAGAAAGAATCCCCTTTATCTCTCACTATTCTAGCTTTTTGTTCTTTAGTTAACAGGTGTGTTCAACTGTCACATGAGTTTTATTTCCAAAATTAAAAGAGAGGTAATTAACACATTGAGACTTTGGCTGCTGGTTGAATAGTCACCTTTGGAATTTGTTTTTTCATGGACCTTCAGGATGCTTGCACTGGTGTACTAAAGCTCCTAGAAAAAAATCAATCAAAATAATCTAATCTCTACTGAATTAGGGAGTTTGTACACAGAGACTAACATTATCTCAACATCTGTTATGGTTTATGTATGTTTTTATTATAATAATTTATGTTATTGGTTCTTATTTGCCTGAGGCTCTAGAAGCATTTTATAGCTAGTAACTCTTCAGAATAGTAAAGGGAAGTAGGAGTCATCCTAGTACTCAACAATAGAGCTATATTTCTGAGCACAACTCCAGATTTGGGGTCTGGCCCTCATGGAATGGGTAAATTAGGGCTCCTCAAATAGGGCTTCACAGAAGAATCACCGGATAGGCGTGACAAAAAGATCTCAATCTTTCCCATCCTTTTGAATTAGGTTTGGGGCAAGTCTGCTCCAAGGAATGAGGAAATTAGTTGGGAAATAGCATTTTATTTAAAAAAATATTTATTTAAAAAGAGTACATGTATAATGGCATAAGTTGGCGTGAACATACTTTATATACAGAGATATGAAAAATTGTGCTCTATATTTGTAATAAGGATTGTAATGCATTCCACTGTTGTCATGTATTTAAAAAAATATTTATTTAGTTGTAGATGAACACACAGTATCTTTATTTATTTTTATGTGTTGCTGAGAATCAAACCCAGTCCCTCACAAATGTGAGGCAGATGCTCTACCACTGAGCTACAGCCCCAGCCCGGAAAATAGCATTTTAAACAAGTGAAGTGATCATCATATAACTAGTCTGACATCAGGTCCCTAGACCCTGTAAGAATTTCCGGAAGGTCTCTCAAAACTGAGAGAGGAAACAGCATTTGTTGTCCACAACTGTGCAAATGATTCCAGATTATGAAAGGAAGGGGAAACAAAGAACACAGTAGCTTCAGAGAAGAATCCAAGGAGCTGTGTGAAATAGGAAGACAGTTGTGAACTTCAGCACATCAGTATTTCCTCTCCTGTCTTATCATTTTCATCTGCCTGTTCTTTCCAGTCTCCCTTAACTCAGCTTTATGTCCTTCCTCTCTGGAAGGAAGAAATGGCTGGGTTGAAAATGGCAGTGCTAATGCACATCTTATAAGTTTTTTTTTTTTTTTTTTTAAAGACCATTTCCCTTCCAAATCCATTTAAGGCTTTCAGTAGAACAATAGGACATCAGTTTAGGCTTCAGGGTCTGATTCATGTCTTCCGTTCAGCTTCAGAACTCTACACATACTTTAGCTGTCTGTTTTAGTTCTGAATAGATTTTAAATTACGTTTCTTCTTATAAGAAATATTATGAAATAAAGCAAGAAGTATGGACTAGGAATCGGTACTCTTGGCCTTTGACTTTAACTTTATACTTATAGTAATTATTCTCTCTAGGATTTGATCCCCTATCTAGAAAGTGAATTTAGTTATCCTTACACTCATTCGTAGGATGTTGGGAGATGGAATCAGTGTTCGGAGTGTGCTTTCAGAAGCCCAAATGATATTCAGAAGAACATATAGCTCATTAAAGTCCTAGCAGCACTTTTGTTTCTCTCTGCTTCATCAGTTATCAAAGTGTTAATGAAACAAAGTACAGTGTCTGCTTTATACTTTTCTCTATATTAGGCATCAGTCCTGCAGGCTGGTTGACAGTCCTATTCAGGTAAAAGTACTCCAGTGGGCTCAGTTCTCTTTAGCAGAATAGTCATCTGATCTATAAGACGTAGCTTACCATCACACTTGCTACCTATCAAAATAACATTTTCTGGATTTTAAAGGCCTCACTTCTCCTTGTCTGTTCTCCCCATATACACAACTGATTGGCTCCTTATATGTGGAAACTTATACTCTGTATAGCTGGTAGATTTTTCTGTGATAGTCCTTCCCCTGCCTATACTTGTCTTTTCAGACAGAGTATATATTTTTCCTTGTAGAACAGTGTTGAAAAGGGTGGCATGCTAGTAATTCTTGGGCCTAGTTCTTCATCAAGAGGTTACTTAGACTTAAAAATTGATCCAAATTATCTCTGGCTCTCTAAGCTGTCCTAGCTTTACTCAGGCTCTCTAACCAAATGAGGAGAGGCTGTTGTTCAAAGGCTGTGACTCACATAGATGAATAGCCCCAGTATGCCCCATCCCTGCCATCATCTTTTCTGCCCAGCTATTGCTGCAGCCTGCAGATTAATTTATATGCATGATGATGCTGTCATCTTTTTCTGAGAACTTAAAAAAAAAAAACCTTGTTACTGGGAAGGGCTTGTGCTCTTTATTTTAGCACAGACCACATTTCTGCATGCTTAAGGCAGATTCAGAGCTGGCTTACTCTCCTACTCTCCTTACTCTCTTTCCTAAGGCTGTGATTATTGTAGTTCAAACATGAGCACACAAATGGGGAGTGGACATTGCTGGGTAGGTCTGAGGACTACACAGGCAGAGGTGACCTAGGAAACTTATGACAGAGCTAGGACAGCAAAGTTAGTTTCTTGGTCAGGTCTTCCTCTGTAGAAAACCCTATGCCTGATACCACTATTTATGGCATGGGATATGCATTTAGAAATAAATTTGTATTGTGTGTAATCTTTCTGAATATTGGTTTTATTTCTTTCTCTGCAAATCTTACCAGTTATTTCTAGACACTCAATACCTAGTTTTGGCCTTAAAGAAAATTATAACTTTCTCTTTTTCACTTGCTTAATGTCATTGTAATACATACAAACCTGGCCTGGATATTTTGTGGGATAACCTTCCTTTGGACCATCATGTGGTCATTTAGCATTTGGAAATTAAGTAGTTAGATAATAGAGAAATAATTTTCAATCACTTTTATTTCCTCTTGCCCCATTTCTTTTTCTAATATATGTTTTTTAGTTGTAGCTAGACAAAATACTTTTATTTTATTTATTTTTATGTGGTGCTGAGGATCAAACTAACCAAGTGCTCTATCACAGAGTTATAACCCCAGCTCACCTTGCCACATTTCTTATGCAGCCTACAAACAAACAAACAAACAAAAAAAAAAAACTGGTCAAAATGTTTATTTAATCTCTTTCATAGAGTCACAGAAAAAAGAGTTATAGGAACCAGCATTTAATGGAAGAGTATTAGAGTCCAGGAACACAGTGTGAAGTACTAGCTCTATAACTTGGTTGTGGAATAGCAGGTCAATTCATCACATCATTATTTATCAATTGGAAACAATACCACTTGCTTTATCTTCAAAGGTAATCCTAAGGATTATATCTGAATCATCTTGCTTCCTTTTCCATCCCTGGAACTATGATATCATTGATGTCCCTTGTTTTGAAAATGAGGAATAATGCCATTGCAGTAAGCCATTTTAAAGCTTGATGCCTCTGAAAATACAGAATTAGTTTAATTGATCTCAAACAAATAGGGCTAGTGGAAAATGTAGTGACAACTTATGACAATTGCTGCTCCTGATTACCTTAAAAAAGGCACAGAGGAGAAAAACGAGAAGAGAGTAGTAGGGCTAGTTAGTATTCAGCTGGCCTTTCCATGGTTGTCTGTGCCCATCCAGGACTCCTTTCTAATTCTCTGCACTGGATGTCTGAACTGATGTGTTTCTCTTGTTGGGGACCAAGTGCCTCTAGGCATAAAGCACATACTGACTCCCACATTGAATCAAATAGTAGCATTTTTGTTTGCAAAAGGAAAATCAGCATTTTGGGTGTTGTTTATTGTTAAAAAAAAAAATGAAATAAAGAAAAGCGTTTTCTCCTGGGTTTTATTTAGCCTTGACCTGACACAGCTGGTTTTTGTGTAGTGATACTATGGATTAAACCCAGGGACTCATACATGCACTCCACCACCACCAGTCCATTTTTTGCAATTATTAATCTGCTTAAGGACACAATAACCTAGGTCCAGTTTCTTAATATAACTAGTGATGCCATTCTGTGTGGTTTTATAAATCCATTGTTATCTTTGCTTCCTTATAGAGACAGCCTCCCAGGAGTGGGCCCTGGTGTCTATATTCTCAGAACTCATGCCTTCCTTAGAAGGGATTAAATATAATTGAACAAAAAACCTTGTCATCTGTGCATTTAAGCATATTTTGAAACTCAAAAAATTTAGAATTTCTGGATTTGGTGTAAATTTAGAAGTCATAATTTTTATATTTTTCATCTATGCACACACATCCCTAATATCTCTTCCTTATTCTTATAAGGACACTAGTCATATTGGATTAAGCCCTACCTTATGGCTTTTTTCAACCTTTAAATGCCCTATCATATTAGAAGTTAGGACTTCAGTGTTTGAATTGGGGGGGAGGGGCACATTTTAGTTCATACATTCTCCTTTCAATTCTCCCCCCCCTCCTTTTTTTTTTTTTTTTTGGTAGTCTGTTTTTTGTTCACCTGCTTTAGGCCTCATGCGGGATTTTCCTGGGATCCTCATTTGTATCATTCCACTCATATGTGATTAAATTTTAAAACTTGTTTTTCTCTAGGTCTCTTAGAAAGGCCATTGATCCCTATATAGCAAGTGTAATAATAATGGTAATAAAGAGTTCTTCTAAAATGTTTAATTGTTTATCTTCAATTATTGACAAAAGAATAGTAAAGATTTTCTAATATTTTAACTTTTAGGAAAATGTAGAGGTACAAAATCACACTGAAAATAAAAGGTACATTATTACAAATAGAACCTAGATTTTTTGGATAATATTTCATAGCTTTTTGCATATAAAATAATTTTGAAGACAGAGCATTCCTCTGTCATGATTTGGGTTGTTCTAGTTTGCAAACATAACTTTTAGTTCTACTTGAAATAATTAAGTCTCTGGGAAATCATATAAGCTAAGAATGTCCACTTACCAATTTACAGTGAGAGAGAACACTCCAATGTCAAAAGAAACACTGACACATTGTATATAGTATTGAAATGTAACATTCTATCCCATAAATATGTAAGTCACTATGTGTCAATTAAAAATATAAAATGTTTTACAAAAAAAGAAAAAAGAAACACTGACAGACCAGTGATCAGGGGTTGAAATATTGGCTTTCAGCCAGCTTTATTATACACTTGGTATAGATTTTTGTCATGCAATTTGCCGTATATGTTGAAATTGTCTGTATCTCTCTTTCCCACTTGGAACCAGTAACTCTTCCAAAAACTACTTGGGTCTTAGCATTACTATTGGGAATCAAGAGTATATGATGAACAAGAATGGCCAAAACTGCAAAGTAGTTACAGTGCTAGCTTATAGTGATCTGAGCAAAGTGGTTTTACACTGTCTTGATCTTGAATAGTTAGCAGCTGGTTCCCAGTTTCTCCCCTTAAGCCACAGACAGCAAAATAGACCTTATTTGCTAATTATTATATATGTCTGTTTTCACCTGTCTGGGGGATACCTGAAGGACTAGTGCAGGGTGCTTGTCTCTGTCTTATATAACTAGAAAACCAGGCAAGAACAGTGGACACTACTTGTAAGAGATACAAAGTAACTATAAACCCACAGAGCCTGAAGAGATTCTGGCTAGAGATAAAGAGTAGGCACAGAGGTAAAGCTTTGTGAGATTCTTTAGGAGATAAGGATACTCAAAAACAACCACATATATTGGGGAATATTGAAAGCCATGCTTACATCCAGGCAAGACACATACTCAGAGAAAGATCTGAGAAAACTTTAAAATCCTATCTCAGGCTTGATCCCTAGGTTTAAAGCAAGACTAGCTATAGCTAAGAGTGAACGAGAGCTAGTCTGCAGACTTCATGTATGTTTCAACTTTTGGCATTCAAGGTGATCTCTGCTAATTCAAGGTGATCTCTGTTAATTCAAGGTGATCTCTGTTAATTCAAGGTGATCTCTGTTAGAATGTTAGTGAAATGAGGTTAAAAAACCCTAGGAATCATGATTGAAAAGGAATAGTTTTGCAAAAGTTTGGAAGTCTCAAAGTAAACTTGTAACTGCAGTGTTAAATAATAATTTTTATTTTTCAGAAACCATAAATAGCAAATCCTGGGTCAGGGGAAGAATCTGGTTTCTGAGTTATCATATTATAATAATCAAATGCCACATTTTTCAACAATAGAAAAATTGTAAGTATAGAGAGAATAGGAAAACATGACTCAGGGGAATTAAATGGACTGATAGAAGTTGTCTCAGAAGAAACAGACTTTTGACTTATTAGACAAAGACTTTGTTTAAAATATGTTTAAAGATAATATGGGAAAAATAAGGAAGAAGGACTAAAGAAAATCAAGAATATGGTTTGTGAGTAAAATGGGACTTATCAATAAAGAGATGGAAATTGTAGAGATGAACCAAACAAAATCTGAAACTAAAACCACAACAATTGCAAGTAAAAGTTTATTTAGAGGGGTTTAGTTGCAGATTTACACTGGTAAAGAAAAGAATCAATGATCCAATTAAAATTATTGAGTATGAGGAGCAGAAAGAACAAGAATGAAGAAATGTGAACAGAAGTTAAGAGACTTTTGAAATACCATCTGAGGAACCATCACACATTATGGGTGTTTCAGAAGAGAGATAAAGGGGAAGAAAGATTGTTTTAAGAAATCATAAAGAAAAATACAGGGGCTGGGGATGTGGCTTAAGCGGTAATGTGCTCACCTGGTGCCGCAGTCTGGCTGGGCACAATCAGGAGCCACTTGTCAAAAGAAACTATATTTTTAGAACCACACACGCCAAACAAAACAGCTCCTCAGGAAAAACCCTCAGAGCCCAACTGCCACCACCGGCTTCCCACAAGCCTCTCTCCCCACCACAAGCCTCTTCACGTCCCACAATCCTCCTGCTCTTGAGGCCGATTTGCTGGGTCGAGTGGGCGGAGCCAAAATAGTCCCCCAATGAGCAGCTCCATGGTCTGAAAGGGCAGGGAAACAGCCCAATGAGCATCACCGCAGAGGAGCCAATCAGCTAGATGTTGATGGGGCTGCTGTGAGCCAATCATCAGCTGGCAGTCTGAAAGTTTGCTGGGGCCCCTTTGGCTGTGGCTCTCAACATCTCCCCCTCTCTGTTTAAACAACAAGCATGTGGCTTAGGGACCGTGCCTGCCTTAGGTTGTCCAATAGTACATATGGTCCTTACCCGTTATTGGATGAGCTGACCTCAAGGCGTCAGCCTCCTGTCTTAGGTTGGTACCATTGCAATTGGATCTTACCCATCATTGACTACCAGTCCAATATACAGCCACACCTGTGGAGAGGTCTTTGTACCAGCGGGGGAGGGGGGTGAGGTTCTTTGCCTCACCTCTGTTGGCCCCCAAATTTTAGCTGAACGATCATGACAAGCAGAAGGGAAGAAGATACACCAAGCCAATTGACGGCTCCTTTTGGGAAAATTGTACCACCGATAACATCATCAGCAAAAATACCCCAACACTACTACAAGTTGATGCACCAACAGATAGTTCACAATGCATACAAGTGATACATAGTCCAGGCAAGTTCTGCAAGCAGTTCAGTGATGGCTATTGCAGAAGCTGTAGATTGGTTTTTATCTTTGTCTTCATCAGCACTGGGATGAAGATAGGAATTCTGGCAATAATGGCTAAAGAAAAAATTATGTAACATTCCAGAAGGCACTAAAAGAAAACAGTTTTCTTAACAATTTACATTATCTTGAAGGGAATTATTAAATATAATGAAAAGGAAAGGTGAAAGTAAACAAACAGATCTGTTAACCTCCTTTTTTGTTCACATATTAAAACAATCCTCAACAGTTGTTTACCCAATTTAAATTAAACCATTTAAATCACGCGAATAAAAAAATATTTGGATCCATTTTTTTTCATGAGCACTCATCATATGTGATATATGGACATTCAGACATAAAACACAAAACACAAGTGTGCACACATAATATAATACATACAACACATAATAGTAAAGGCCTTATAACTTTTTACATGTGAAATCTCCATTGCAATGTTTAAAAACTCTATAGTCGAAAAAATAGAACTGATCAGCAAAACATTAACCTAGGTCTGTATGAGCTCAAAAAACAAAATAGAACTTCATGATATGGGAAAGGGCAATAATAAAATAGATATTGAAAAAAGCATCCTGGTTCTATCGCAGATGTAAGAATAGCCAAAATGGAGTTCTGGATATCAGCTATTATGGATTTGAGCCAAATCCATCTTCTTTTTGGTCTGTAGAAATCGCTTTAGTTAATCTCTCTGGAATCCAAATCGGCTGCTGTTCTCCCTGTGGAAACACATAAACAGACCCCCGACTCCAGACAATCACTGGGTCAGGACCTTGGTTAATCTCTCTGGAATCCAAATCGGCTGCTGTTCTCCATGTGGAAACACACAAACAGACCCCTGACTCCAGATAATTACTGGGTCAGGACCTTTCC